TGTTTTTGGCAATTTCAAATTGCTGTCAAATGCCATCGAAGGAGGATTTTGTGAAATGACAGATAGAGGTTCATGTTCTGCCAACACCACAAAGAGGGAGGATAATACCAACACTACCAAGAGTGCATAATGCAACCTGTTACTCAACAGCATGTTTGCCCTTCAGATGTCGTTTTTTTTTTGAATGATTTTTTAAAGCTGTCACCAATATCGCTGTGTTGTTGGCCAAAAACAAGTGATATCAGGTGATTTTGCGGGGTCAACACTCACCTTTCATAGAGTTTACAATGATATTGAAATTGTTGATCCATGACAAATCATTAAACTCTATAAATGGAAAGTGACAAAATTACAAAACGATTTGCATTTTATTTAATAACCTTATTAAACTTTCTCTAATATTTACTCTCCCTACAATAAAATCCCAATTTTTGACATTTCATACATAAATCTTGACGATGAGGTTTTGAACGATCAATCACATCAAATAATTCTTCTAATTCATCTTTTCTAATTAAACTCTCCAATTTGTAGGCATAAACTGGTCGAAAGCAATGAGAACATTGTTGAGTGAAACCTTCCCAGGAATTCCCACTTTCCCAATGTCTGTTACAATCGGTGCAGTGATAATAGCCGTATTTTCTTGTTTGGTTTGAGTTATAAGTTTTCTTGAATTTGTGAGTCATTGTGCTTTGTTTTTGAAAATTTTGAAAAAATTGTTTTTTTGAGTTGTTTTTATAGAAAATTTCACAATTCCTAACCTTAATTAGGTTCATGCTTTTTTATGAAAACTGTTCGATTCACCCTCCATAAAATCCACTCGAAAATTAAGCACATTCCGGGGGTGATGCAAGTATTCGAACTTTCTCCGATAAGAATTCCCTTCTTGTCCACTCATCTCTATCTAACAAGTGATGAGGATTTGGATAAGGCTTGTTTGTTGTATGGAGATGCAGAAACTCAAACTTTGAGTATTGCTACTTCTACCACACCACTTGTTTTTATTAGTGATCCGAAAATGTTGAAGGAATATTTCATTACTAAGGGTCATTTGTTTGAGAAACCAGGATATGAGGTGGTGAATTTCTTTGGAGAGGATAATATTTTGACAGCTACTAATACTGAAAAATGGAAGAAACATTACAAGATTTGTTCGGCAGCTTTCACACCAAAGAATTTAATGTATGTGTGTAAGGTTGCTGACAAGTCTTGTGATTTATTGTTTGAAATTTGGAATGAGAGATTGAAAGAGAATGGATCTATGATTTTGGATGTAAATGAATATTCGAATCTTACATTGGGTAAGTAATTTCGTAGCTCAATGAGTTACTGATCTGAGTCGATCTGTTATATCATAACACAACCTTGGTTGAATAGACGTTTTGGGAAAAGCTGCTTTTAACATTGATTTTGGTTTTTATTCCAATAAGAAGAGGGTAGATA